CTAGCCAAGGGTCCATCAAACTTGTTTAACTTTTTGAGAAACCAGCTCTTTGTTTCATTGATCTTTTGAAAAATTTTTTTTTTTTTTTTTTACTCTATGTCATTTATTTCTGCTCTGATCTTTACTATTTCCTTCCTTCTACTTGTTCTGGTGTATTCTTTCTGTTTGCTTTCTAATTCTTTAAGTTGTGAGGTTAGACAGTCAATTAGAAATTTTTCTTCTTTCCTGAGGTAGGCCTGTAGCGCTATGAACTTCCCTCTCAGAACTGCTTTCGCTGTATCCCATAGATTTAGTGTTGTTGTGTGTTAATTTTCATTGGTTTCCAGGAAGTTTTTAAGTTCTTCCTTGATCTCCTTGGTAACCCATTCATTGTTTAATAACATGCTATTTAGCCTCCATGTGTTCAAATGTCTTTGCATGTTTTTGTTGCAGTTGATTTCTAGTTTTATGCCATTGTGATTTGAGAAGATGCTTGATATAATTTCAATCTTCTTGAATTTGTAGAGATTTAGTTTGTGTCCTAACATGTGGTCTATCTTTGAGAAGGCCCCATGTGCACTTAAGAAGAATGTGAATTCTGTAGTTTTGGGGTATAATTCTCTGTAGATATCTATTAAATCCATTTGGTCTAGTGCTTCATTTAGAGTCTCTGTTTCCTTGCTAATTTTTTGTCTAGAGGATCTATCCAGTGGTGTCAGTGGGGTGTTGAAGTCCCCTGCTATGACTGTATTGCTGTTGATTTCTCCTTTGAAGTCCTCCAGAAGATTTTTAATATATTTTGGTGCTCCCATATTGGGTGCATATATGTTTATCAAGGTCATATCTTCCTCTTGGATAGATCCTTTCAATATTATGTAGTGGCCTTCTTTGTCTTTACTTATGGCCTTCATTTTGAAATCTATTTTATCAGATATGAGAATTGCTACTCCAGCTTTTTTTTTCTTTTCTGTTTGCTTGTAAGATTTTTTTCCATCCCTTCTCTTTCAACCTATGTGAGTCTTTTGTTGAGAGGTGGGTCTCTTGTAAACAACATATAGATGAGTCATGCTTTCTTATCCAGTCAGCTACTCTGTGTCTTTTTATGGGAGCATCAATCCATTTACATTTAAGGTGATTATTGATAAGTACTTATTTATCGCCATTTTTGTTTAGTGTGGTTCTATTTTTCTTCCTATTTCTTCTACTAATTACAGCAGTCCTTTTAACATTTCTTGCCGTGCTGGTTTGGTGCTAATGTATTCCCTTAGCCTGTTTTTTCTGGAAAGCTCTTTATTTGACCTTCTATTATGAATGATAGCCTTGCTAGATAGAGTAGTCTTGGACTCAGATCCTTGGTTTTCATGACATTGATTACTTCATGCAACTCCCTTCTGGCCTGCAATGTTTCTGTTGAGAAGTCAGCTTCAAGAGCCTTATGGGGTTTCCTCTGTAGGTAACCTGTTGCTGATCTCTTGCTGCTTTTAGGATTCTCTCTTTGTCTTTAATTTTTAGCATTTTAATTACTATGTGTCTTGGTGTGGGCCTGTTTGGGTTCTTCTTACTTGGGGCTCTCTGTGCTTCTTGAACTTGAATGCCTTCTTCCTTCACCAAATTAGGGAAGTTTTCTCTCACTATTTCTTCAAATGTATTCTCTGACTCTGGCTCACTTTCTTCTTCTTCGGGGACTCCTATGATGCGAATATTATTATGTTTCCAGTTGCCCCACAGTTCTCCTAAGCTGTCTTCCTGTTTTTTAATCGTTTTTTCCTTTTGGGTTTCTGATTGGTTGATTTTTTCTACCCTGTCTTCTAATTCACTTATCCGGTCCTCAGCTTCCACTACTCTGCTGTTTAGACCTTCCAATGTGTTATTTCTGTTATGTCATTCTTGATTTCTTCTTGGTGGTTTTTAATTTCCAATTGGTTGATTTTCAACATCTCTATGTCCTTACTCATGCTGTTGAGCTTCCTCAAGATCATGGTTCTGAATTCTAGCTCTGTTAACTTGCTTAATTGCTCCACATTTATCTCATCTTCAGTAGATGTCTCTTGTTCTTTCATTTGGCTTTTGTTTCTGTGTTTCACCATTTTGCCTATCACAGTATGCTTTGGAGCCTGCCAAATTTTCCCTGTGGGTGTTGGTGTTCTGCTGTTTGTGGCTCCCTGTCCTGGGTTTGGATGAGCGAGGAACAACCCACGTTAAACACCACTGTCAAGTCTTTCTTTCCTGGTTAGAGTTGCTAGTCTAGGAATGGTACAGTTATCCTCTAGCTTTTTGCCTGGAGTATATCAGTAGTGGTTACTTGAAGAGGCTTGGGTTCTCAGTTCAATGAAAAACTCCCTCAGGTGCTCAGCATAAGGGGATTTCCCAAGGGTGGGGCAGATGCTGGCTGTTAGTGAGCCTCAATATGTATTTCAATGGCCCATGGCATCGGATTAAATCTCCGAGGTAGGGGCCACAGCCTCTCCCCAGATCTCTGGGAAGGAGTAAGATGGTCACTGTCCTGCGTGGCTGCAACTCAGCAAAAGCTTTGAGCACCCTCGAAATCCCGAGTGTCCCCACACAGTTCCAGTCCAGTCCAGTCTGCCCTCCCTCTCCCGGAGCCCAAGGTGTGTGGCTGTGGCTATTTTAGAATCTGTCCCAGCTGTGCGCTGTGGAGCCGCTTGGGAGTTTAACCCGAGGGTGCTGCTCACATCTAAGGCTGCTGCTGTCTGTGGGCTCCCAGCCCACATCTCACGCCTCTGTAATCCTACCAGGATCGAGTCAGTGTCCCTGGTTTTATGATCCTTGCAAACTGCTTTTCTGTTGCTTTTTCCCATCGATTTGTATTTATTTTTGTTGTAATTCCACTTTGGTCCTGGGAGACGGTCTGTGTAGCTTCCATTCACTCCACCGCCATTTTGAAATTCTCTTTTCTTGTTTCTTGAGGTAGGCTTATAATGCTATGAATTTCCCCCTTAGGACTGCTTTCACTGTGTCTCATAGATTTTACGTTGTTGTGTTCTCATTTCCATTTGTTCAAGGCGTCTTATTATTTCTTCCTTGATCTCAGTCATTGTTTAGTAACATGTTTTCAGCCCCCATATCTTCATGTATTTTTCAGGTGTTTTTTTTTCCTTGTGATTAATTTCTAATTTCATAGCTTTATGGTGAGAGAAGATGCTTGATATGATTTCAATCTTCTTAAATTTATGAAGACTTGTTTTGTGTCCTAACATGTGGTTTGTGGTTTATCCGAGAAAATGTTCCATGAGCACTTAAAAGAATGTGTATTCTGATGCTTTGGAGTGAAATGCTCTGAAGATATCAATTAAAAAAACATCTGATCTATGGTGACAGAAGAAAAAAAAAAACCCATCTGATCTAGTGTCATTTAAAGCTGCTGTTTCCTTGTTGATTTGCTGTATGGAAGATATGTCCACTGATGTCAATGGGCATTAAAATCCCCTACTATGATTTGTATTATTGGCAATTTCTCCCTTCATGTCCATCAAGCTTTGCTTTACATATTTAAGTGCTCCTGTATTGGGTGCATAAATGTTCAGAAGGGTTATATCTTCTTGTTAGATTGTACCCTTTATCATATGTAGTGTCCTTCTTTGTCTCTTACTATAACCTTTGTTTTAAATTCTATTTTGTCAAATATAAGTATAGTTACCTCAACTTTTTTTGTTTTGTTTTGTTTGGTTTGGTACGTGCCCCTAGCGGGAACCAAACCCAGGACTCTCTGGTCCATAGGCCAACGCTCCAACTGCTGAGCCAAACTGGCCAGGGCACCTCAACTTTTTTCCCATTTCCATTTGCATGAAATCTCTTTTTCATCCCTTTACTTTTAGCCTGAGTGTATGTTTTGTTCTGAGAGTATTTCCCAAAACACTCTCTATAGATCTTAAATTCTACAACCTTTTAACAGATCTTAAGCCAAAAAGGGAGGAGGGGTATTGTGGTTAAATTAACTTAGGAAACTTTGTTAAACTGGTTAATTTAATCTTCTCAAATTACTAATTTATGTCAAGATTTGGGGGAATGGGAGGATTGATTATGAAGTGTTTCCTAGTGTTCCTTGACCATAAAACCCATTTTGAATGAACTGGCATTCAATGGACCAAACCTTAGGTAGTGCTGGTCAAGAATCAATATCTATTTCTCTCTGTGTGTATTATCATGAGCTCAGTGCCCATACTGCTTGAAGTGAACAATGTCTGAAATGAGTTTACTCTAAAAATCTTCCATGTAGTTGATGCTATCATAAAACATGCTTAATTTTCATATAGATAGGTTTATGAGACACCTAAGACATCATAAAAGTATCTTATATATCTAATTAAGTTTTATAGGATATCCAAGATGGTAAAATTTGGGGAGGAGGAGAAGGAAAGTAAATAAAACCTATCATTGAAACAAAGCTCTGAAACAAAGTATGAACAGCATGTGGTCCAGGGGCAGGTCTAGATTCTAATCCTGGGTTGTGGCCAAATTACTTGGCCCTGCTGTGCCTCAATTTATTCATGGAGATGATATTAGTACCTATTTTCAATAACTGTGGTAATGAATAAATTGTTTAGAATAGTGCATGGCACAATGAGATAATGCTTCTGCATAATGTTTCTAAGAGATTCTTTAGATGTGTACCTACCTCCTGGGTAGACTTCCATGCCTGTAAGTCAAAATTTATGAAACAGTGTTCTACTATTTTGACATACTATTGCAATTTTCAAAGGCACCTACTTCTTTTACTCAATATGTAGCACTTATACACTTCACAACAGGGTTTATTAGACACCATATTATAAAAATGTACTTACTATTACACACTGAAATATATAAAATAGGAACAAATTTAATTTAAACTTGATCTATGATTCCTACAAGATTGGTTATATATATAAAGTAATATCTTCTAGTATATTTTAAAAATACAAATAGTTATAAGTCTGTATTTTACCACCTTCTATTAATATAATAGTTTTTTATATGATTAAAAACACTTACTATCACCAGAAAGATTAAAATCTACTTACAGTGTTCATGACATTTTGCCAAATTTTCTAGGTCATCCACATGATAGTAATCATAGCCTGATGTTCCCAGAACTTCAAATGGCAAATATCCTATTATGGGTGGCGCCCTAAATTACACATAAAACATTATAATTTAACATAATGAAAAATATTCCAACTAGAAATCAATTTTAAGGGAACCTTTAATTTTTGAAACATGGATAATGAACTTGATCATCCATATTAGAAAAAGTCTGTCCTTGAAATCCATTAATTTAAACAATTATATGACCATTACCTTTTCATGAAAATTAAAAATGGGATTACCTGTGATCTAGAAACAGAAATTTCCATTCTAAACTATGTCGAGATGTAAACTCTTCATTGGGTTCTTCAACAGTGCACATTTCCTACAAGCAAATTAATAATTAAAATTCAGAAATACTTTTCTGTCCTTAGAAGAATCCTAAATAATGTTAGCCATAAAAGTCATTATTAGATAACTTTCTAGCAATTTTTTAACACCTTTTAATTTTCTAGTACTAAAGAATATGGCCATAAATAAGTGCTGGCTTCTAGGGGAGTAATTCTCACCCTACACATTTCACCATTCACTCACATGCCTATAACCCCAATTCTGAATTCAGATCTTTCTCCTGAACTACTACAGTTCCATATTTCTAACTGTCTGGATGTCCCCACACATCACAAACTCAGTCTTTTCTAAAATGAACGAATTGCCTTATTCCTTACATCCAGTAAAAATGAGTTTACATCTAATTACAAGGCACACCTGGTCTTTTCATACCACTAGTCTAGAAAACTGATAACCACAATACACTTTTCTTTTCACTTTTTACCATCTAAATGCCAAATATTAAATCCTTTCAAGTTCACCTTCTAAGTTTAAAAAAATCTATTTGATCCCATCCATCTTGTGTCTTAGACTCTAGACCCTCTTCATCACTGGTTCACATTATTGCCATAGCGTCTTCCCAAACAAGTCTCTGTGATCTTCAACCTATCTTCTATTCTGGCTATAATTATCTTACTAATACTCAAAAATGACTACATAACGACCCTGTTTAAAAACCTAAATGGTTCCTCATTCTGTTAGGATCAAGTTTAAACTCTCTAGCATGGAGAAACAAAGAAAGAAACATATTTCAGTTCTGGCCTCTGTTTACTTTTCTAATATCTCCCACCATCCCCACCCTCTCCACACATAGTAACCCTAGACTCTAGTCATATTCAACAATGTATTCCAACCTGCCTCAATGTTCTTGAATGACCTTCAATAGCACCATGAAATTGTGATTAAGAGGTTAGGCTCTGAGAGAAAAAGAGTTAGAATCAATCCCACTTTTACCACTTAATAGCTTTGACTTTGGGTAAGTAACTTTACTTCCCTAAGCCTATTTCCCTATGTATAAAATGGGGGTTGTTATAAAAATTAAATGAGATAATGCACATAAAACATATAGCATGTAATAAGCACTTAATGTTAGCCACTGCTATTATTTCCTAAGATCAAAACAAGAACAGTGAAACTGGTTTAAGATCTTCTAACTGCTAATTCAGTACTTTGTCCTACAATATGGAGTCTCCCTAGATTTAAAATCTTAGCCTGGCTTATTTCCGGCCACTTTCTTTTAGTGGTTGAATTCTTTCACCTTCCCACTTCCCTACTAATCATCTGCTTGTGGGGCCCAAAAAATAAAAATAAATTATTTAATTAAATTTTAAAATGGAAAAGGTAAATTACATGCAGTAAAAAGCCACTTGTATATTTCTAAAGAAATCTTCAAAAACAATCTTTAAAATTACCTACATTTTTGGTCTTTCCCTTATACAAAAAAGCATCCTAAAGTGGTGTACAAAAACAGGACAATAGTAATATACAACCACTGGTTAACTGCAAAGAATATACATTTCTAAATAAATTCTATAATTTAATGAGTGCCTTGATAACTTATTATGTGCTTCAAAAGTATCATGATCATGTACATTCAAAGACTCATGGCCATCACTACCTTTAATGTTTGCAGTAAGTTTCAGTTATTCTGGAAACAGCCAAAAAAAAAAAAAAAATTACATAAAGACCGTTCACAAACTATAAATTTAAATCCCTTTTAGGAAATAAAATTAGAAACATACCTTGATGAACTGAGGAGTAGCTAATCTGACAGTAGCTACAAAACAAACTCGATCTTCATAAGAAGGTCTGTGTGTGCGTTGTATAGTTCCTTCAAAACCATTGTGTGCTGAAGTGGATACTAAAACAATAAGGAAATATGTATCATCACTTACTCCAATAATATCTAATTATTACTGATGTTCAAACATCTACGTCTTTGAGAACTTGAAAGAATACCAGATTAAAATACACTGTAAGAAAAGTATTTTAACTCACCACTGTTTAAAGATTTGAAATTTCCTATAAATTTCACATATTCATAAGTAGATGGCTCCTTTGGGTCTATTGTTCCTCGAAGCATATGACAACAGAATTCTAACTGGTTTTTGGCTAAAGTGGGAGAAAAAGACATACTTGTGATTTACCATGAGTGCCACATCACATGAAAAGACTATAAAAGTTGTACAAGTTTACAATACTTTCTCCACCAGCAGTCCTCAACAAAGTTTTATTTAGTCCGTAAAAGTAGAGTACCTCTAGGAGATGATCTCCTTAATAGAGTAGATTATTTATCCTTAACAGAGAAACAGATCTTCTGATATAAGCAACTCCATATTTCCCCATTTGTATCTCTTTCCTTCTCATTCTTCACTCTCATTTCAAAGAATGTTTTGCTTCCCATTCTAAAGTTATTGCTTCCATGAGCAGTGAACAGTCTTTCCCATCTTTTCTAGAACCAGGCCCACACCACTGTTAATTCATTCCTATAGCATCCACACCTTCTCTTCTTTGAGTCATCTCTCTACTTGTAAATTTGCTCAGGTCTCCCCATCTCAAACAAACATGCTATTCTTTTTAGTATTATAGGTCGTGCCCTCCTTTTCATTACATGCTTTAGGTTCCATAGACATATTCATTTCTCTTAATTTCACATATGGTGGCTTTTGTCCTCATACCTCTATAGAAATTGCTCTTCTATAAGATCACCAATATTTAGTAGCCCCCTTATTCATAGGAGATACATTCCAAAACCCCCAGGAGATGCCTGAAACCATGGATAGTACTAAACCCTTTAAGTACCATGTTTTTTGCATATGTACATACCTATGATAAAGTTTAATTTACAAGTTGGGCACAGTAAGAGATTAACAGTAACTAATAATGAAAGAAGAGTCATAGGCATACCTCATTTTATTGCACTTTGCTTTATTGTGCCTCACAGATACTGAGTTTTTTACAAAGTAAAGATTACAACTTGCTTTATTGCAGTGGTCTGAAATTGAAATTGTAATATCTTTGAGGTATGCCTGTATAACAATATACTGTAATAAAAGTTATATGAATATGGTCTCTCTCTCTCAAAATATCTTATTGTACTGTACGTAGAGAAGGGATATGCTGGACAGAGAGATGATTCACATCCTGAGTAGGACAGAGCGGGACAGAGTGACATTTCATCACACTATTCAGAATGGTATGCAATTTAAAACTGATGGATTGTTTATTTTTGAAATTTTCCATTTCATATTTGTAGACCGGGGTTTACTGCAAATAACTGAAACTGTGGAAAGTGGAAGAAAGTAAAACGTGAATGAGGGTGAACTACTATACTGCTAACTTCAACGGGTGTTCCTCATTGTTACTACCTCTTCTTAAAACTCACACTTCTTCATTTCCATAGCCTGAAACTTACTTCCTACCTTACTGAATATATCTGTATCTTTGCTAATCAGTCTTCAAATTGTAAGCATTCACAAACATTGTTTTGATCTTGATCTACTACTATCCTTTATAAATTTATAAGCATTTAGTAAACTTATTTACTCCCTCTCCCCAACTCTAACATTTTGTATAAGACAAAGTCTTAGGTAACTACATGCTTTCAGGACATTTCTACTTGATTGTCCCATCAGTTAACTCAACTAAAAACATTTCAAGGTGAATTTATCCCTCTTTCTTCCTAAGCCAGCTATCCTTCCCCTTTGTTCTATGTGGTCCTATCTCCCAAGATAGAAACCATACCAATTCGGTGTCTTCTCTTCCACAAGCTCCCAAACTAATGTCACCAGGACCTGCAATTTATTTCATCAAAAAAGCTCCCATAATTTATTTTTTCCAAATGAACATCCTGTACCACCAATTTAGTATAGATGCAAATCACCTTTCATCTAGGTAACTGCAAAAATGTATCCTATATGCCTCCATGCTCTTGCTATTAGAATTTAACTTTCCCTACTACTATTAGACTAATGTTACTCTCAGAATTATTTCAGCATTCAAGGACTAGTAATACGACTCTCGTTCATAGCATTAAACTCTTATTCTTCTGTCATTATCATCAATGACTTTATCATCTAACTTGACAGGTTTAAAAGCTAACCAACTTCTTTCTAAAATCTTCTCTACTGATGATCCCTAGCCACCTGGTCTCCTGTGCCTAACACTAAGTCCTACTGAGTTTATCTACTCAACACTCACATCAGGCTTTCTTCTCCATCCTTACTTCTATTACTAGGATTCTGTAGTTTTATTATCTCCAGTCTAATCCTTTTCAAAATTTTTCACCTGAGACTTTTTTTCCAAACCATAAAACCACCCTTGTACTGGCTCCTCACTATGTAAAAAATAAAAATCAAACTAGTTAGGATGAATGATTAGGCCCTACTTCCTTCTCTAGACACAAATCACGCCACTGGTACCACCTCACCTTCATTATGGCTCACATGAAAATCTTTAATTTCCTAAGCAATTCCCCTCTGTTTTAAATCATGTTTAATCTTCTGGCATAAAACATTTTTTTCTGGAGAAATAACTTTTTGTGTATCAGCTGTTTAACTAGGAAGCCAGTAAGTCATTTAATTAAGGCTTTTAAAGTATTACTGTCATCTGCCCTTTGATCCTAGAAGCAGATGCCTAATGTCTACCTTTCTGCCAGAAGCTGTCATTCAGTTCTCCCACCAACACTGCTCTTATGAAGGTCTCTAAAATGGACTCCTCCTGCCCTGGCCGGTTTGGCTCAGCGGTTAGAGCAACGGCCTGCTGTCCAGAGAGACCCGGGTTCGGTTCCCGCTAAGGGCCCGTACCTCGGTTGCAGTTTGTCCCCGGCCCTGGTCAGTCGTGCGGGTGGCAGCCACTCGATGTGTTCCTTTCACATTGATGTTTCTCTCTCTCTCTCTGTTCCTCTCTCTCCCTCCCACTCTACCTGAACAAAAAATGGAAAAATGTCCTCAGGTGAGGATAAAAAAAAAAAAAAATGGACTCCTCCTTTGTCGACTTCTATGTCCTAAGGTCCCACCTTCTTCTCTTCTTGTTCTATATATTCACCTCAAGTAATGTAATTCAAACCATGACTTCAAATACTATTTATAGGCAGGCATATAACTGACCTCTACACCATTATATCCAACCCAAATCTTTCTCCTAGGTGAAAAACTACAGTAGTCTATTAATAATATCATAAGAAATTGATTTTTAAACAATTATAAATAGGCTTCCAATGAACTCCTCTGGTCTCTAGTTCTTATCTCCTTCTGACAGGCTACCCATTCACATCAAAGGTGTATATTCATACATACTTAAACATATACATGCATGTGTGGGGGGGATCTCAATTCTTGGACAGTTAATTTTCTATAGAATTTGAAGGTTCAAAATACCAAGAACTTTTCAAATGATTAAAGCAGTATTACCAGAAATGTCAAAATTAAAGAAAATAGTATTACCACAAAAGTCAAAATTTAAAAACCATAAAAAAGTGATTAAAGAAAATATGTAACAACTAATGACCAAATACAGTGTTGCAATAATTTCAGATTTTACAGAGGGTAATTTAATGAAGTAAATGAGGTATTCCGGTCAAATAAATTTGTCCAGTGAATCTAGAAGAAATGTCTGATTATACCATAATATTTCTTACTTCTCAAAGGCAAGAACTATTTTTCACTGTTCTTAGCACTTCTTTGATATTACACATGTGCCTGGCATATAACATATATCCAATAAATGATTTTTTAATTAGTAAAGCAAACAACTTTCTTTAATAATTCTTAAGAATACAGAAGTAATTGTTGTCTAATTGGTTGATTATAGTGAAAATGAGAACATTTCATTTTCTCATTACATAAAGTAAGATTTTATTTAAAAATTAGTAAAAATATATTGCAAAGTTCCATTTTGGTGTAAAATATAGTTTTATGGCATAACTGCTAAAACAAAAAAGATGGGATTTCAATATATTCTAGAATAGAAATCAGACTTTAAAATAGTCATAATTCCATATTATATATATATATATTTTTTAATTTAAAAAGAATCTAATAAGGTATATGGAATGATGCTGTGTGTTAATTTAGTTAAATGTATCTGTGTTTGTCACAAAGTTACAAAAACAAAGTATAATACAACCAAATATATTTAGCTTTTTGCATAACAGCTACTACTTACATTTTAAATATTCAGGGGTTAATGAGTCACTTTCCAGCAGATGAGTAGAGAGTATTTTATAAACCTCTGAATGTTCCCCCTCTGGGATAAAATTAAATATACTTTGATCCACAAGATCAGACTAAAAGAGAAATTCAAGGAAGTAAAATAACTTTAGTGATTCAAGAGACATGTATTTTAAAAGCATATAATCACTCTTAAAACATTAGGTGAACATATCATCACATTTTGATTATTTGTAAAAACTGATGAATATCAAGTTACAACTCAAAAAATAAGAGAAGGTGAAAGACGGTTAACATGACCATCATGCTTCTAATACTAGTGTCTTAATCAGATCCATGATCCATATGACCTTCAAAATCTGATAAATGATTTGCAAAGGTGAGCTTCACTAAATTTGAACATTTAAATTATAACAGGCCCTGGCTGGTTTGGCCCAGCAGTTAGAGCATCAGCCCGTGGTCCAGAGAGAACCGGATTTGGTTCCCGTTAAGGGCACATATCTTGGTTGCAGTTTGTCCCCGGCCCTGGTTGGGTTGTGCGGGTGGCAACCACTCGATGTGTCCTTTTCACATTGATGTTTCTCTCTCTCTTCTTCTTCTCTCTCTCCCTCCTACTTTATCTGAACAAAAAATGGAAAAGTGTCCTCGGGTGAGGATAAAAAATAAACAAAAAACAGGACTCCTGGGCGGGGTGGGGTCAGAGGTAGAGGAAGGCAAAGGGAAGGAAATGGGGGTCATCTGTAACAGAGTCAACAATAAAAAATTTTAAAAGAGAGAAAATACATAAAAGGACTAAGTAAGTTGATTAGAAAAAACTTTGGCTCTAAGACATAGCCCTACTATATGTCCAAACCCCTGGTAATTGATGGTGGTATTTACTACAACAAAGGGCCAAAGGACTAGCCACAGGCCAAGTGAAGAGGAGATTTGACTTTGTTGTCATTTCAATTGTCCAATGTGCTCTTTCCTTTTTATTTCATCTTTTCCAGCCATCTGTCCTATATCCTATTGTCAAAATGCCCTGCTGTTAGTTACCCCTCCCCTCAAAAGGCAAGTAATATGTCCTTGCTCAAATATGGCTCTAATTATGATTCATTAATCAATCACAATTTGACAAACATCAGGTTGTCTACAATGTGCTATGGCTACAGAATCAAAAATGAATGAGACAGTTCCTATCCTAAGGAACACTGACAATAAAACGAATCAGTGACCTCACATTTTCTACCTAACCCAGTCTATTCCACTTGGTTTCTCTACATCTTCAAACTGCTCTGTGTAATCCTGGGGATACTAAAATGGGGTCTCAGGGACTGTGGAGGTAAAGATGGAGGACAAGAAAAGTGAAAAGGAGCTGTGAAAGCAGCGCTATGGGTCTTTCCCCCTGTATTCACAAAAGCAGTTTCACTTTTATTTGGTTTATATTTTAAACACTGTAAAGATGTTGTTTGTAGAAAGAACTTCATGGCTTAAAAACAAAAACAACCCTGAAACAACACCACCACCAAAGAGAGCCACTGGGGAGGTAGTAGGTGGGAAAAGAGTTTTTATTAAACTCTCTGTACAAGCCATACATTCACATTCTTTCTTTTCTCTAGCCCTCAAAGTCCACTCTATGAAATGAAATAGACTTCCTCTCTTTCTCTACATATTTGTATCTTCATCTTTCAAACACCAGTTCAAATTATGTCCTTCAAAAAAGTATTCTCTTAATATCATAAACCAAAGTAAAAATAAAATTCCTTTAGTCCTCATTACTATCATTCATTTCCCATAAAAAATTTGTCAACTGTATTTTAATGTCTATGTCCTAGTGCCTACTGCCCATAAGTAAATAAAAGGGCCCTATATCTTATATCTTTCTTCCTCCCTTCAAATAAAGGCACATTAATGCTGTGCACTGCATATAACAGTTATTAGTATAGTAAATGATTCTAGATTAAGGAGTTATTTGATAAAGGCTTATGGGGTAACCACACTAAAAATATATCTGTATTTTAACAAGGATTATTTTTCTGTAAGTCTGAAAAGCCTCAAGAAGTTATTTATGCACTGAAAATTTAGGCTTAGGTAACAAAAATGCTAAAAAATTGCCTTTTATTAACAAAATAAAATAGAAGTATTGATATTGTTAAAAATAAAACACCAATTTAAAGAACTGAAACTTTCTTTTTGAAAATGATTATAGTTTTTTATTATTCACACTGACAATTTCCTTTACTATTTCGGTAAATTATAAATTGATCTACATTACCCTTGCTTTTCCAGCTATAAACTGATAGGGTGTTTCATATTCACAGAGAAAAGAATACGAATGGTTAACACAGAGTGGTATGATCTCACTCATTGCTTCCCTACCATTCTGCTTCCCCAGAAACTTTATAATCTAAAGTATCAGAGTTAGCAGGCAACTAATTAACTAATGTGTCAAGCTTTCCATTAAATACATTTAAAATCTCTAAACGAAGCTAATCATAATTGACTTTGCCACACCATCCACTCAGTTCCCAAACACAATTCAAAGAAAGAACAAAAAAGGCAGCTATCTTGATTCTTTTATCTCCATCAAGCATGTTCATGAAGAAGAAATGTAAATCCTGCTGACTTAGTTATATGCTATAAATCAACAGCCTTTCTATTTTTTCCACATTAGGTTACTATAACCATTTTGTGGAAACTATAAAATGTTACCAATTATCTTTTCCCTCAGGTAGACAACTGACAGACAGTTAAACAAATAACTACTGTGGAAACTAGTTGCATAAACAGGACAGAAAGTTCCTCAGAAAAAATGTTAAATATATGTTGAATATAACATGTTTTAAACAACTGTGTTTCTTGTGTTCGGGCATAAAGAACAAAAAATTCTAGCCCTATCAAATAAGCTTTCATAATCATAACTATTCAAAAAATTCTAAAATCATATTTCTGCATACTGCAGATAAAGACTGCACTTTCTTGAGACACATTTGTGTTTATATTTCCAAACTCTCAAGTTAAGAGGAGCATAAAAGGAAAGGCTCGCTCAGTATCTTTACAGTGGCACTTTCAGTCCTGGATTCTGCTAAGCTGTAATGTGGTTAGTCATCTTCCCTATAGTACTTTGGTACAAATTTAATATATTCTCTCTGAGGAACACATTTAAGCAAGTGCGAGGAAATCAATCTTTTGTTGCAAAATTTTACAAATGTCAAGTTTGCAGTATAGTAAGACACCGACTTTGTGTCTTAGAAGTTCCACAAAACTGTTGCAGAGTTAACCATTTTTCTAATTTCTCTAAGTTTCATGTTTCTTGCTACTAACATAAAGGGGCTGAGCTAAGGATGTCTAAAATCTCAGGCACTGAGGTGGCATGAACCTCTAATTCTGTCACAGAAAGCCAGATTAGGAGAAAAAAATCTGTAAATTTCCTTTCCATTCTCAAAATGAGTAAAGCATTTATGCCCAAATTATTGGCCACAAATAGGTTAAAATGTACCTAATTTAATAAGTGTAAAGTGTCAAAGTTAAGAAAATACTTTCTTAAAATTATCAGTCTTATAATTTTATAGTCTGATTTAAATTTTTATTTAAAAATTTTAAGTCATATTGATCACTGATTAAGGTAGCCAAATTTAAATTTCTCAACAGAACTGAATTATAAACACTAAAGCCTAATTTAGGGACTTGTTAATGTTTCTTCCCTTCTGGCAACAGCCAAAATTCTATTTTAGACAATAGGTGTACATATTAAAACACAATGAAAGGGGCATTATTAATTTACAACTTCTGCTCAGCATCTGTTATAGTTTAATTATTAATGACAACCCAGAAGAGAAAAATCTCTTATTTTTTCCTTGTTTGATCCTGAATATTATTTCATGTTCTCAAAAATCACTTATGTCTCCCCTTGCCCCCCAAAACACTTGTTTACATTTTTCAAGTCATCAAGTAATATACAATTCAGCAATGTCAGTGATGTGAAGGAAAGTATCTGTAGTAACTGGTGAGCAGCAAAAACTATAATAATAAAGGACACTATTAACATAGCATGGAATAAAATGGGTCCATTGGAGCAGCAGCAGCAAACTCCTCTGCCCAAAAATTCACCTGTCAGTCTATATGCTTTGGCTAATACAAACAATGAAAAAGATCCAGATAATGTTAACAACAAAAGAAACTGGGTATGGGGCATATGGGAATTCTCTGTACTATTTTCTTGATTTTTTTTTTTGTAATCTAAAAACAGTTATAAAATAAAATTTTTTTAAAAAATCCAGGATGGAATGGAAAGGTGAAGAGGGTTCTCAGTGAGGGGGGAATGTGAATGATCAAATGCTTGGATCCCAACTACATCTATCACATGTTATCTATTTCAAAAAATAATTAAACTCTACCTCACTAAAGATTCAATACCAGTGTGCTATTAGGAAGAAATTTTTAAAACACCAACATCAAATAGCCTATTCAATTTCATACATTCAATAAAAATTATTGAATGCCTGAGAAACCAGCCCATGTGGATATAAAGTCCCTGTATTTAAGAAGCTACACCTACCATGATTACCTAAATAAACAGAAAATTACAATTCACTTTAAGTGCTGTGATGGCAATAAGTATAAGGTAACAAGAGAACAGAGAGGAAGGAAGGGCATCAAATTCTGAACAGAGTTCAAGAAAAGTGCCCAAGACGCAGGCTTTTAAAAAGTGTGACCACATACATTGCAAATGGTACTCTGATTATGACTAAATTAAAAATTTTTTAATTAAAAAAAGATTACATCAATTCTATAAATACATAAAAGAAAACCTATATAATTGTATATTGTTTAAAAGCATCTAATTATACATTTATTTAAATTACTCAATCTTATTTTAATTATATCTTAACCCTACAATGGGTTTCTTTCCCTAACTTTTTTCATATATATTTTTTAAAAAGAGTTACCCAATCTGTCCTTTTCTCTGACCATACTAGTTTACTTAGGTGTTCTATGATCTCATTGTTACTCTCAAACAACTTTTAGATGCTAGGCTAAGCACCTTTTATTTGAGCTTACTGTTAAAGCCCCTAGAAAAGCAGTAAAACCAAGTCATTTTCTGGTGTGAGCCACAGATATTAGCAAATTACTTACTGCCTGCGTGGCTTTCAGTAAGAAATTAGCCTTTTAGAATCTGGTCTTTTAAATGTAGTGTCCATTCTATACATAAAGTATGAAGTGGCAAAATAATCAGAGGGAGGAAGATAATGCTTTTCAATATCTCTTAAAAGAAATCTTTATAAAACTATTGTTATAAATTTTCAGTAGATGAACACTGTAAGAGTAATTTATAAATAACTTCAGAATATTTATACAACAAGCCCTATCTTCGATAAAAACATATCTTATTAAATAAAAACTTCAAAGTCATTAAAACCATTAGCTCCAGTAGAGTGCCTAACATAGTGTCTGGCACAGAGAGTGGATGCTCAATAAATATACTTTGAGTAAGCCAACACACACATAATTCTGGTATTCACCATTTATGTCAAAATTACACAATACAATTATTTTCTAATTCTGTACCCTTAAGGTCATATTGATAACAAACTGAATATGGCCATTAGGGCATTATCAATTCAAGCCAAAAAGCACAAAAGTTCTGTATCTATTATTTTTAGTGTGTTCTTATAAGTTATTCTTTTGAGAAAACTATTTGAGTTCCTTCAGCTATAACAAGTATTTCAGCAGAAATTTAGTTATCCTCAAGATAGTCTCAGTGATTTAGCAACATCTTCACCAGGCTTATTAAAAAGGAGACACTGAAAACAGCATTAGGAAAAAGAGGGCAGGAAGAAGAGGTTAGATAAAGTGGTCATAAAATAGTGACTACAGATTTCAGAGTCATGACTGAACCGAGAAAACAGCCTTGTTAAAAGAGGACCTATTTTTAGGTCTCCCCCTCACTCTACTTACTGTTCAACACTGCTCTGGAGGTACATTTCCTAGTGCTTTAGAATATTTAAGATAGACATTAAATAAGAAAGAGATCACAGGATTTTTTATACTTACTGGTAAATGTTCAAGTAATGAAGTTACACTCTCAGACACATATATTATGCTTCCATCTCTCATGATTGCTAAAAAAAAACCATCAAGAGCCTGAAATTAAACATAATGGTCAGTTAAATGAAAAGAAAAAAGTGTTTCATAGCACAGAAATAAAAATCCAACTTACTAAATGATAAAGAATGTAATGTGGAAATTTCCAGAGTACTATCAAAATGCTAGCGTTTCCCCTTTATACTACCGTAGCACAGTATATATCTTTGTGCATTTTTAAATGTTTTTGTTTTGTAATTTTTTTTTATCCTCATCTGAGGACTTTTTTTTTTTTTTTTTGCATTTATCTTCAGATAGAGCGAGAGGGAGAGAGGGGGGAAGAGAGAGAGAGAAACATCAATGTGAGAGAGACACATCGAGTGGTTGCCACCCACACGACCCCAACCGGGGCCGGGGACAAACCACAACCGAGGTACGTGCCCTTAGCGGGAACCGAACCCAGCACTCTCTGGTCCGCAGGCTGACATTCTAACCACTTAGCCACCGGCCAGGGCTAAATGTTTTTAAGAGAAAAAAAAATCACTCTACGGCCATCGATTGAACAGTTGATTTCTAAAACATAGTCTTAATGTTCTACCTTTATCATGCACATATTGTATACAGGTAGCCTTATTTGAAGATGCTAGTATCTCTGAAACAAGTACACCATTAATAATATGTCTTTGGCACACAAAAGAATATATTACCACCTTTTGTACATATCAGCAGAGAGGTGTATGAACTGCAGGGAGATACATGAGGAATAAAGTGAAAGGGAAATAAAGCAGAAAAAGTAGGCTGAGGTCAGGTCATGAAAGGCCTTGAAATACCAGGTTAAGACATAGGATTTTGTTCAAGAGTAGTCTGGAAGCAGCGTGTAAAATGGATTTAGAGAAAAAAATAATTAAGTTAGGAAAATCTCAGTAGCTTTTGGTATAGTCAGGGAAGTTAATGAGAATCTGAATGAAATTAGGAACGGTAAGAACAGAGAAGAAAGAACTTAGACAAACATTGAGAAATGCAAAGGACAGTTCAGGAGGGAAGCCAGAGTAGGGGCTACAATACTTAATAAAGCAACTCCTGCCCTGGCCAGTTGGGCTCAGCAGTTAGAGCATCGACCCACGGACCAAAGAGTCACAGGTTCGATTCCAGCCAACGAAATGTACCTGGGTTGCGGTTCGTCCCCAACCCTGGTCAGGGTTGTGTGGGAGGCAACCAGTCGATGTGTCCCTCTCACGTCAATGTTTCTCTCTCCCTCCTACTCTATCTGAAGATAAATGGAAAACAAATATCCTCGGGTGAAGATAAAAAAAATAAAGCAATTCTGTACTTTATATATTATAAAGTATTTTCATTTGCAAATCATAGGAACAGAAGTAACAGCTGAAGAAATGAGATCTGCAGGTCTGCATGCCAGACAAATCCTTGGGGGATTGCCTACATGTGGAGATGAGAAGGACAAGTACCAGAGAAAATGACCAAGAAGACAGAATACAGTGTCACCATGTCAACAGAAGAGAATATGACAAGATGAGTGAGGAGAAAGAGAGATGGTTCAGTATAAAATGAGATCAGAGTAAAAAATGAGAAAATGAGAAATACATTTGGTGACTTGCAAAAAAAGATGTCAATAGGAGGATCAGTCAGACTACAATGAATGGAGAAATGACTGGATGATTAGAAGGCATTTATAAACCACTCTACCAAGAACTTCAGACTGGAAGAAAGGAGAGATAAAAGTTTTCAGGAAACCAACTATTAAAGGAAGGCAATAAAAACAAAAAAGTAACAAGTATATTTGCAGGCTGAGGGAAAGGAAAATCCAGTGGAAAGATGTTGAAGATATACAGCAGAAAAGATACCAAGAGGAATTCCTCTTTAGTCAAAACAATTATCACACTAAATCTGAATTTCTTAATTATAGGGCTCTCTCAAAAGAGAGCAATCCTTGGTAAACAAATAAATAAATGCACATACATCTTCTTCAACATTGTAGCTGTAGCACCTAGCATATGTGTAGCACACAGCACATAGAAAAAAATACTTGTATTTAATTTACAAAGCTGGGAGTTAGAGCCACCTCCCTCTATTTCTAAGTAATTGTTGAAGTGTATGTTGAATGTATGAAAAAAAGGCACCCCACCACCCCTTCTATTGGGGGAGAGATTTGAATATTAAAAAGAACTTATTTTAGTAGATGACTACCTTCTATAAAATGGCTCAAACAAACCCATTCTTGGCTAAAGTAGAAGAAAGGGATAAAAACCTTGTAATTCATGTAAATTCATGAAATTATTTTTACAAAAACTCTTTAGTATAATAATGCCAGTGTTATTACTTCATAAGGAAAGGGATCAATGATGTTATTAAGAACTAGCTTTTCTCATGTGAAGCTAGATTATATCACCTGTGAAAGCAAATTAATATTTACTATGATGGTTGTCAGTCTGTACCCTACTTCCATGTTTCTAGGTCTACCCTATTCTTCAGACTGTTATGTTCATTATATTCCACAAATAAGTGAGATCATGTGGTATTTGTCTATTTCTGCTTGGCTTGTTTCACTTAGGATAATACTTTCCAGGTCCCTCCATGTCGTCTCAAAGGATAAGAGATCTTTCTTTCTTACAGCTGCATAGTACTCCATTGTGTATATGTACCACTGCTTTTTTATCCATTTGTCTACTTGGACTGTTTCCAGAAGTTAGCTATTGTAAATAGTGCTGCTATGAACATGGGGGTACATATATTCTTTCGGATTGGTGTTTCAGGTTTCTTAGGGTATATTCCTAGAAGTGGGATCACTGGGTCAAATGGCAGTTCAATTTTTAATTTTTTGAGGTAACACCATAGTGTTTTCCATAGTGGTTGCGCCAGTCTGCATTCCCACTAGCAGTGTATTAGAGTCCCCTTTTCTCCACACCCTCGCCAACACTTGTTGTTTGATGATTTGTTGATGGCAGCCATTCTGACAGGTGTGAGGTCCTCAGAAGAGGGGGTGGTGGGGGAGGGAGGAGATAAACCACAGAATTTATATGCATGTATGCATAACCAATGGACATGGACAACAAAGCTGGGGATGGGGTGGAGGAGATGGGAGGAAGGTGTCAATGGGGTAAAAAAGGAGAAACATCTGTAACAAAAATAAAATTAAAAATAAAATTAAAAATAAAATTAAAAAAACATATTTACTATGATGACAGTATTTGCTCTTAGTATATTTACTATGAATTGGGGTGCAGCTCTCTTGTGTGAAGAGAAATGAACTGAAATTGGAAGTCTTAATGACTTAATATCACTCCTAGGACCACAGCCTGACCTTTCCTCTTTCAGATTAAGCAGAGAAAAGTTTCCATTAGCATCTTGCCAAACTCTTAAGTAAAGACTTAGGGCCCAGACTTCTTTTGAGTGGAGGGGTGTAACTTCCTAAGCAGGTAGGTGGGTACAGCAAAAACTAAAGGGGCTTTGAACAGGGCCTTGAGGATGAAGATATGGAAGAGAAAGCAAGACAGAGAAGGACATCCTCATCCCAAGGCTAAAGACTGTGAAGCTTATCCCTCTTCCATTTTGTATGATGTAAGGGGAAGGCTCATTAGTTAAAACTCCTTGTCTTCCTAATTGATATCTACTTGACCCACAATAAAAAGGACTGTGTGAACCTTCTTTGTTAGTGAGTGTTTAATCTGGGGAAGACTGGAAGTTCTAGGGAAGGAGACAAAACCTCCCTGTGGATCTGTATCTAATATGAAGTTGACAGGGCACTAGCCCTTCCCTTGTAGACGACCAGAGAAAGCTGCCAGCTTCCAAGGGAAAGAACAATATACTGAGAGATGACTTCACATAAAGATAACTTTGCACAGAGGTTAGGTTAAATTGGCCTGATTTCCTTGTCTCTACCTTCCCAAAAGTTGTAAGGAATATTCTTCACAACAGAGTAAAGAAAGGGAGTGATGGATGGCAATGGGGGAATGGAGAGAGAGACAGCCAACACATAAGTTATAAGTGAATTTTAAGATCTAAGTCGCAATTTTTCTATTAATTAGCTCTCCGACCTTGCACAAGCTGCAATTTCTCTGGGTCTCATCCATAAAATGAAGAGGCTGAAGTGAATGATGTAATTTCTCTTGTGTATTCACAATGTAAACCTACTTTTGCCCCATCCTGTATATACATGACACAAAGGCTTAAAGTGTAAAAGAATCTCAGACCAGCAGGATAAGAGATGTAAATTATTTAACGACACCTATATCTTCATCTCAACTGCTTTCCTCTACTCTTTCTATGCTACTTTCTGTTACATATCTACTTCTCTTGTTCTTAACTGTTTTTGCCAAAGCATACTGCCTCTGTTTCCTATTTATTATAAGTTTTCATGGAAATCTGATATTGAACTCTGTGTCCATAGATGATATCTATATTATTCTACACACAGGAAATAATTAAATGGTTTCTACTTGAATTAAGAAGAGTTGACTTTCAATGTATATTTTATTAGTTTTACATTATCAAAATACTTCATTTATTATCATTTTATGTTGTTTTTAGGTAGATTTTAATTTGTCAAGTAAAATGCATTTCATAATATTTAATATGTGATGAATAATATATATTATTCTTCATTTGAATCTTGCTAGTGTGGTCTCAGGTAGAGAATTTAGTAGCTCTAGTTTTCTGACTTTTATTAAGCTCCTAAAAAGTCAGATAACACTGAAAATATAAACACATTTAGCATTCCTTTACCAGATAGTACTATTTGCTTATAATTCTTGCACTAATTTTTTTTTTTTTATCCTTACCGGAGGACATTTTTGCATTTATCTTCAGATAGAGCGGGAGGGACAGAGGGGGGAAGAAAGAGAGAAACATCGACATGAGAGAGACACATCGAGTGGTTGCCACCCACATGACCCCAGCTGAGGCTGGAGACAAACTGCAACTGAGGTATGTGCCCCTAGTGGGAACCGAACCCGGGACTCTCTGGTCCACAGGCCGACGCTCCGACCGCTGAACCAAACCAGCCAAGGCACGCTGATTAATTTTAATTGAAGGTAATATTTTGATTTACACTGAATTAAAATTTTTCAACATTAAATTAATATTGCGAAAACTACAGTAAAATTAGTCACCCCTGTGATTTATTTTTTGAGGAAAATAAAACTTTTCAAAAATTAAATTTGGACATACCTCTAACATTAATTGTGTAAACTCTTCATTACTAAGGAATGTAGGTTTCCAGTCCTGTCGAATTTCACTAGCATCTGACTGTGCAGTGATTTCTGTAAACAGATTATTTGACATGTTAGTGGCATTCCAACTGTGGGCTGGGCAACTGGGGCACCACAAAAGCCCTACAAGTTGCCTTCTCTCTCCCCACTCTAATTAAATATAAGAACCATAGGCAATAACATTTATTGGTCTAGGTGGGTATCAGGAGGTCAAAGTTTTGGTATGATGAAATATTTGAGCTACTATGGCAAATTAGCTCCTTGGATTTGGTCTTTGGTCTCTTGAAAATACCAGTCTCTTTGGTTTTTCTCTGGGGAGCTGTGATAGCCTGTGTTGCTTCCTGCTTGACACAATGACCGAACAAGATTCAGAATAAGCAGATAGATCAAGCATTAGGAAGATATTCTTTTTCCTCTTCCTTTCCTTGCCATTCAAGTGGTAGAACCTAGAGCAGATATAAGGACATGAGCCTGTAGGAAAAGAGCCAAGGAGGTCAGTAAGTCTGCTTTTAACAAAGAGGACTTTTGGCCTGTCTACTGCCAAGCAGAAAGGTTCCTTCCAATCTGAGGTGCTCTAGTCTTAATTAATCAAGGAGACTAAATTAAGATTTGGGTCAAAAACTTTATAGTAATAATCCCAGAGTGGTTTTGCTTAGTGTCCCCTGGCATGTTTCTTAGTGGTAGGGAGTTGATCAAAAATTTGGAGATCCTTGGATTGGGACAATATTTTAATAAAATTATTAGTTTCTTTTGCAACATACTACTTATTAATGGATTTAGTTATGAGAAAGCTATTCATAATTGATGAAACAATCTATTTATATAACAAACACTTTTCCATTTTTAAATGCAGACACGTTTAAGAACCCAGGCAAAATAAAAATCAATGTCATAAATTTTGCTCTACAAAATATACTCTACTTTGCAGTAAAAAGTATGGACTAAGTTGTTTAGATTTTTCTATGACCAAATATATAAATATAGCATATTAAACTGTCACCCAAAATCTGCTATATTAAAAATGCCTGTATTAGAATATGAAGAGTAACTAAAAAGTCTAGATACTAATTCTGTGGAATATAGTCATACTTCTTCAAATTCATAACAATTATAAGCATTCAGAAAAAGAGTTACATGCATAAGCAAATCCCATCAAGTTCAGTTAAGCACAGGCTTATTTTAGAGTAATAATTATGTAAGAATTCCCACCCGATTTTAGGCAAATTTTATTTTTGTGAGAATTTTATACCCAATTTAGGAAAAAATAAAAACCTGATCTACTTAATGCCAAAATTAATCCTCTACTGTCAGAGGGAAATGCATACACATTATTTCATTTCATTCAACAATCATTTATTGAACTAAAATGTCTGAGGAGTTGAGTGTGCTGCTCAATAAGAGACACTAAGGTAGCAAGAAGACTATTTGTAAAGTATAATGACAATGGTAGCAATAAAAGTGAAGACAATTTTGACCCATTTACAGAAGAATCAGGAGAATTTGGCAACTATGATATAGTACTAAGGAAGCTGAAAAAAAATACAAGTCTTTTCAGGTTTAAGTCCTGGGGGAGTGAAAGGATGGTGGTATAAAAAAAGAAAGGATGAGGGAAAGGGGTGATTGGAAAAAATGACAATGAATTCCGTTTAGATGTGTTGAGTCTAAGGATATGCAAAAGAAAGATCCAGAAGTTATCTGGAAATAAAAGATTGAAAAGTTTGCATCTAAAATACAGACTTAGTAATTTAATAGAGAGACAATTAAGCTGAAGCTATGGAATAAGATAACCAAGGGAAAGAGTATAGAGAATGCAAGAACACAAAAGATAAGTCCTTAAGAAATGTCACATTTAGAGGGGAGAAAAAGGAAGAGGAACGAACAAGTTAGTTTTAGTTATGAAGGGGGAAGTGAAGAAGTACAAGATAATACAGGCCAAAGGAAAAGAAAGCCAGTGGATGATGGATTAAAATTTCCAGTGCTTCAGACATGCAGAAGAGAAAGGAAAAACAATTGCGGCCCTGGCTCGTGTGGCTCAGTTGTTAAAGCATTGGTCCTCGCACTGAAGGGTCATGGGTTTGATTCCCAGTCAAGGGCACGAACCTGGGTTGCAAATTCAATCCCTGCCCTGGTTAGGACACAGCAGAAGGCAACTGATCAATGGATGTATCTCTCATATTAATGTTTTTCTTTCTCTAAGAAGCAATGGGAAAAGTATCCTCAAACAAGGATTAACCCTCAATACACACAAAAAAAGAAAACACTATTGTTTTATTGGCAACAAGGGAGGGGGGAGTAATGGCATTAGTGAAATTAACAAAAATAATTTCAAAGAGTGGTGAAGCATGAATCAGGCTACTAATGCATTACTGAGTGAGCTAGGGAGAAGCAAATAGAGGCACTAATTACAAATTCTCCTTCTGAGAAGTTTTGCACTTTCAATTACATCTGAAAAAAGAAATGTCCTTTTACAACTTTTTCACATATTATCTCTGTTACCAAAATATTTAATGTTCTTTCAATTTTATTTTCATTATTTATGTAGTCATAGTAATTTTCTTTGATTAAGAACTAATCACTTTAGCCCTGGCCGGTTTGGCTCAGCGGTTAGAGCGTCCGCCTGCGGTCCGGAGAGACCCGGGTTCGGTTCCCACTAAGGGCATGTACCTCGGTTGCAGTTTGTCCCCAGCCCTGGTTGGTCGTGCGGGTGGCAGCCACTCGATGTTTCCCTTTCACGTCGATGTTTCCCTCTCTCTCTCTTCCTCTCTCTCCCTCCCACTCTATCTGTACAAAAAATGGAAAAATGTCCTCGGATGAGAATTAAAAAAAAAGAACTAATCACTTTAATTTAAACATAGTGTTTGTTTCCTAGATATCCACTGAAACAATCTTTTAAAAATGACATATAATTACAATCGGGCTCTTGCCTTTCTTTCAAATATGCCCATAACTTTCTAATTCAAACTATGTTCCAGTTATACTGAACTCTCCCTGAGTCTCTGCTTTTGTACATGCTATTTCCTCTGTGTGAAATGCTGTTTTCCTTAATCTAGAACAGTGGTTCTCAACCTTCCTAATGCCATGACCCTTTAATACAGTTCCTCATGCTGTGGTGACCCCCAACCATAAAATTATTTTCGTTGCTATTTCATAACTGTAATTTTGCTACTGTTATGTCTTAGGCGACCCCTGTGAAAGGGTCATTCGACCCCCAAAGGGGTCACGACCCACAGGCTGAGAACTGCTAATCTAGAAGGAAGACTCAATTGAAAAAAATAAACTATTTTTAAGCTTTCCCTGACACCTTCTTCCCTCTGTGTTTTCCTAACAAGTTTAAGGTTTATAAGCACTCTGCCAATTATATTTATATGCATTATTAGCTGTTTAGATGTCTATCTCTCTTAGCTTGAGTTACTTGAGGGCCAGGGCTGTTACCCTGTACATGAGAATTTGGCTATACTGGGCACTAAATAAATGTTTGTTGAATGAAAGAAAAAACATACCAGGAAGTTGCAATTGATTTATTTCTCTTAAAAAAGGTTAGAAAGCATCCAATCTTAAGCATCACTATCCAGATTCTATCACATTATGCTTTAAGGGAGAGTCTATTATTTTTTAATCCATTTTTCAAAGTTAAAAATTTACCTTTATGTTTTCGTAAAAAATCAATGCTCTTCTGTAGAACGGTAGACTTGTCCATCTTTCTAGCATTACCAGGAAGCATGGATCCCAATTCTTTAATGAGAACATTAAATTGATCTCTACGTTTCTTTTCAGACTTGTTTCTAGATACTCTGATGAAATAAAAAAAATAAGTAGTTTTCAAATGATCCATTTAATTACACAGATAGTTTGATATAATGCTCAATTTGGACAACCACACAGCATGTTCTTCTGTTAAGGTAGATAGTATTAAGTATTTATCTCCTAGTTTACCAACAATATACAGTTAATATGAGCAGTAATTTTTCTTCTCTGTTTATCACTAAAGAAACTTTCATATATTAAACATTTGGCATACATGTTTTTATGAAAACACCAGTAAGACAAACTGCATTCAAATTTCATGTTTTATTTACCCTAATATTTACCAAGAATTTGTAATTCCCATAATTACATTATTATGAATATTACGGAGATACATTTTGTGAAAGTACATATAATGTATAAATACAAATTATTAAAATTTTTAAATTTATTACATTTATTGGGCTGATGTTGGGATCATAGAGGTTTCAAGTGTACATTTCTATGAGACAAGACCTGTATACTGCACTGTGCGCCCACTGCCCAAAGTCAAACCATCTTCCATTTTATCCATCTCCTGTTAGTTTTAAATTACAAACAAATCTAAAAATGAAAATCTGCCTACCTTGAGGCTTACCTACACATTCTATATCCCAGCCTCCAACAAAGAGCTGTAATTATCTGTTTGCATACCTGTCTCTCCATTTGGCTATGGGCTCCTTGATAATACAGCTCAATTTTTTTCATCTAAGCACTTAAGCATAACATCTAACAAAGAGAAAGCACTCAAAATATATGTGCTAAGTGAATAATTATTACTATTCTATGTGAAGCAGTAACCAGTAAACAAATATTTAGTTTCACAGAGACCTCTTGAGACAAAGTAAATACAGTACACTTATTCATAGAGCAATTAGCCATTCTATAATACCTCTAATTATTTGCTTTGTGAAGTCAGATGCTAGAATCCAGTTTTTGTTTAAGTAAAGTATACTACTTTCTCAAAATGTCAGAGGATAATTATATTTATTTTACTTGTTTTTCCACAAAGAACAAGCATTTATTCTATATTAGTATTGGGGAAAAATACTATTGTTCAAATCTCTTATGAAACATAAAATATATTAACTGCCTCCCTCATCAAACACTGAATGCTAGTTATAATGACAGAGACGGTGATAATAAGACTAGGTACACTGGGGAAAGACATCCCTTCCAAGAAGTTCACCTAATTCCTTTGGAAACTAAGTAAAGTTGTACTCTTGAAAGCTATATGATTTTATTAACCAATTTCACCCCAATAAATTTAATAAAATTTTTACAATTCATCTAATTCCTGTGGAAACTCAGAGGAATCAGGGATGGCATCCAACTGTGCTGAATGGAGTCTGAAGACTGTGAGAAAGAGACGGCAGTGGTGTATGTGCAGGGTATTCCAGGCATAGGAAATTCATACAGAGATGAAAACCAATCACAAGTAGTTCAGCATGGCTAATGTGGATAGTGTAGAGGTCCAAGTATGTTGGAGTCAGGGGGTGGGTGGGAGTATTAGGTACTGAAAAATATCATGAAGTGTTATGCTACATAAAAGGATTTGAGTTTAATCTTGAAAGCCATGGGAAGACACCAAAAGATTTTAAGCAAAGAAATGCCATTAACGAAACTGCTTGCTAATAAGGCCACTCTGGCATCAGATTGATGAAAAGATCAATGCCTGGTGAAACAAATTCTTTTAACAAATACTATTGAAAAGTTACTACATGCCAAACAAGACCGAAAGCCAGATTACCATTTAGGAGGCAACTGCAATAGCCTAACCTATGAACCATGGCAGGGGCAACTGTTAACATAGTAGTGTGGTTTTGAGAGTTAAAGAGGCAGAACTACAAATTCTTGGTATATCAGATGTGGGTTGGAGTGGAGAATCAAAAAGGGAAATCTAAGAGGATGTCCAACCTACTGATAATGCTGTTCATCAATGTGAACTATAATATGTGATACATGGTTTTGGTGGGCAGATGGTTTGGGAAGTATTTAGATATGGTGAAATGGCCTCTTTGACATTTTAAAAGACATAGACAAGAGATAGATATTATGGATCTACTTCTATTCCTCTAGAAAAGAATAAATAAATAAGCATCTGAAAATTAGTATATATTAAATATCTGAACACATGGATAGAAGGTAACATGCCCAGGGTCATACAGCTACCATGAAGTAATAATTCAAATCAGGCATTTTGATTCCAAGGGAAAAAATTATATAGAAAGCAAATATCCTTGCCAACTCTACCACTGGATCGCACCCATTATAGCAAACTTTACTTCCATATTACACTCAGGTTGGAAGTAATTAGTTCTTGAAATGACCTCACTGATAACAGGTCACAGATGCTCCATTTGGGGGTGAGTATAAAATTCCCTTTGTTCTAGGTTCAACACTAAGGTCTTAACATTGCTTTCAGTCGGAGTTCAATGTGGTCCTGTTTAATTCTGACAGCATCATTACAAGATTTCTTCTCTTTCTCCAAGGTTTTCCACAGCACCAGTATTGTTGGTTTACAAAAAAAACCATAATCATATCTTAAGTCATTGCAAATAGAATACCCTTAGCTCACTTTATCCATCTATATAAACTTGACCCTTAAGACTATCCAGGTCAATTCCTTATAGTTCTGCCTCTTCATTCAGGCAACACTGATTATTCCCATCTTAGAGACTTTATCTCTACCCTGATGATTTTATAAGAACTTTTCTCCACTAGACTGGGGTTAAGGGGTAGGGGTTGTCCTAGATCCTTTTAGCTTCCAATACAAGTCTTTTTTATTTCCTTGAATAAAGTTACAGCTTTCCTCAAAATTTTCTTAGACATATTTCAACCATTCATTAAAGTATTTAGCAATTTACACGGTTATTGTGAATATTTTTCTCATCCCAGTACCTTTTAATTTGCTAACTATTACGTATTACATCTCAGTGACAACAATCTTGGCTGAACTGCTACCTGGACCCTCCCTCCTGGTACTATAATTAACTGTCAATCCCTATTTAAGGTCAAAGCCCCCACTGTCACTACCATGGCTCCAGATCCCATTTCCTCACCTACTTAATGATACTTCTCTAACAATCCTTCTCTCCCTCTCTCTATCATCTACTTTCCCTTCTACTAGAGACTGGAGACATGTCAAAGGACACAGGAGCCAACTCTGAAAGACCTCCCAAGGGCCAAAGCTGGTATAATCTGAGCAACAAAATAAATAAAATAGCATTGAAGTAGTAGAACCTAAAGTACAAAATAAATATATATGAATCCATACAGATATGAATAAGTAGGGGAAAAAATTTGTTTCAGAAGAATTCCAAATATGTGTAGAGGTGGAGCTTAATTCTCCCAACCCCAACTCTGAAGGTGGGCTATACCTAACTAGCTTCCAAGAATAGAGCAGGTTAAGAGAAGAGCAGTAACTACAATGGTGAATCCAGGCAAACCCTATTTTAGCCAAGTGATGAAGGTTAACATCCCCAGTGATGACCTACAGTTACTATGTACCCATAATATGATTTGATGAGAAGAGCACTTTTAGAGGATAATTCTATTTAACTTATAAACTGGACTCTGATTGTCTAAGCTCTTCTACTTAATTGAATACTAAGTTCTTAAGGCAGATAGGTTTTGAAAATGACTGATCTACTATTTTTACTGTTGCATTTAGTATTATTCATTTATTTACTATTTCACATCTTAAGTTGAACTACCTTTTTGCTTTGTCCTTGTCATCTTCTTCCACCAACCCATCAAAAATACTACCATCATCTCTGAAAGAAAAAAGAAAGCATGTAGAAAAAACCAAGAACATAGTCATTAAGCAACAGCAACACTAACATGAATGTGAATCAAATGGGTTATATCCTAGAGTTTTGTAAAGTAGTTAATGGACTGCACAAATTCAAACTCCATAACTACTAACCTATTTTCTAATAAATATCAGAAAATTAAAGTATAGCCATTTTTATTACATTTTTAAAACTTTATTACAAATGTGAATTTTAAAACTACTTACTTAGCTGTGCTACACACAACATACTAAACCAGAATTTAACTTAACAAGAAGTTAAATATCTTATTTCAAACTTTTAGTAACCAGTAAAAACCTACAGAAAGTCAGTGTATTTGCCATTATATAAAATGATTCACTTGAAACTATTTTAATTATAATGGTATAAGTACAAAATAGATTTTTTGTGATATTCAATTTATAAAACCTTAAGTCACTCATAAACATCACAATATTTAGCATAATTAGCTTAAATCACTGCTTTAAGGTATATAGCACAATATCCAGCATAATAGTACAACATTTAGCACAATACATTTTCATTCCTTACTGATTAATTTGACAAATATTTATTAGCACTCATAAGCCAGGCTTTGTTCTGGACATGGTTACAGAACAGTTAACCAGACATATAGGTCACTGCTTTCCTACAGCTTATTTTCTAGCAGAAAGAAACAAATCAACACAAAAATGTATGACAAATGTTTTTTTTATAGGGGTGATGTTTTAGTTACTGGGTAGTGACATTAGTCTGAGGGATTAAGGAAGGCCTTGTTGAGATAAGGAACATTTGAGCTGAGATTTAAGTAACAAAAAAAAGTTGGTTATGGGAAGACCTAGGGGAAGAGCATTTGAACATGAAATCAAGAGCACTGGTGCAAACCCCTTAACCTAAGGAGCAATATAAAATAGTTTCAGGTGACGTATTAGCTTTTACATAAATTCACTATTCATTCCTTTAACCACACCTTTGTGTGGCCAATAAAGGCCTGTGAAGTGTCTGTCAGACAAACTATTGAGATCATCTGCAAATTATGCATCATTGAAGTCCATGTATGGACTTTCAGGGTTTCATGTATACAATGAAATTTATGAAAAATTCTATATGCATATGCATTTTATTGAGAAGAGAGTCTGTAACTTTCATCATATTCAGAAAGATAATGAATTCATATTAAGAACTACTGCTTTAAGTCTAAACACAGATGTCATCTCTAGATGTGATATTGTCTAGAATGGGTACTGGCAATCATTCAGAAGTATAATGCCCAAATCATATTTAATTTCTCAGAAGCAGTGAAGAAAGGTCCATTCTGAGGAGACTACAACACAGATCCTACCTGCACGTACAGTCGTCCCTGGCCACTTTGCACTTCGACTTTCACAGCTTCACTCTATTTTAGTTTTTTCACGTACTATACTATGTTGGAAAAAAACGGTGATAGAGTGAAGTGGCAAAAGTCAAAGCGCAAAGTGGCGAGGGACGACTGTATATAAATAAAGAATCCTACTTCGGAAATTCATTTATCGCAGTAGAGTTCCAAACTCATTAATTGCAATAAACTAGGGCCGACTGTATGGCATAGCCCAAATCTATGTCAGTGGTATAAGCAGCCCTCTCTAAGGAAACTCCTTTCCTCTTAAGTCTCAAGTTCTGGTAGAGTAAATATCTTCCCTGTTTATCTCATAGAAAAGAGAAGGGAAAAGGGCTGCCTCCAGATGTCAAAAGTCACTCTGTTATATAACTCTCGCTACAAAACTCATTCTCACATGGAAGAATCACACAGTACGCTATAACAAAAGCACAGGAACTTTAGTGTCAGACAGATCAACACAGGTCATAATTCTTGCTTATCACTTACTATGTGATTTAAACACATATTTAATCTCTCTAACCTATAGTTTCCTCACCTGTAAAGTCTCACGAAATAATTGTGAGTTTAAATAACATATGAAAAGTATTCTGCACATTAGCTACCCATCAAAGAGTAGTTGCTTAAAAAATGTTAATGTATTTCATTGATTTTAAGCACCATTCCCTACTTATCAGTATTTTTCTACCCACTAAGGTAGAAAAAAAAAATGCTATCAACTAAACTATGATAAGAAAATTGTAAGATGAATCTCAATATCAAAGAGGTTAAAATGTTTTTAAAAAAAGTATTAAAATCAAAGAAACAAGGAGGTTTATCCTCTTCCCAAGAGTAAGATATAAAGACTATAATTTCAACTAATGAAATTCCAATTATAGTTACCTCTTATTAATCATAAGTGTTAAAATGCTTAGTGGAATGGAGTTAGCACCAATAAATAAGGAAAAAAAGGATGAAAGATAAGAAGATAGATGATTCCAGAATGTACCAAGGAAACATTTGCAACTGTCACACTTTCTTTCAGAAAAGCTCTAACCAAATACTCAAAATTATAGCCCAAAGACCCATTTAGAAAATAAGCCATACACTGTTAACTTTGGCTCTAGACAATATTAATATACCTTCCTTACTAGTACATTATGTTGACTCAATACAGAAATTAAATGTAATAGTAATTATGCTTATATTTTATCAGTTTGATATAGACCATTACTCTAACAGTGAATTTTAAGATGGCCTTATATAATTCAAAATAAAAGTCTCTAAAAACATACCTGTCAACAATTGAGCTCATTTTACCACAGCTTACGGTAAACAACATAACATATTACGTTTTCGTCTTGTGGTAGACATTTGTACTTCTCCTTGGGTAGAAAAAAAAATTAATGGTCATTAGTTTTCTAAAAATCTTATTCTACAAACATAGTAATCTTGAGAAACACTATATGCTGTTATAGTGACTTCAAAATACTTTTCTTTGTACTAAATAAAGGCGAGAACATTTTCAGGCAAACAGTTTTAGTTGGGGCACATCGAGGCTTTTTTTTTTCCTTCTAAAAAAGGTCCACGGGCGGGGGGGGTGAGGTTCACAATTCATTCTCTTTCTACTATAAAATAATCAAAATTTAAGTTACACTTAGTACTCAATATATATATTATACTAGTGACTATAAATATAGGCTATACCATCTAATCAGCAAGAAACATTTGTTGCAAGCTTATTTTTTGTTACACTGTATAGTAAGCTTTGGGAGTACAAGGGTGAAAGACATAGTCCCTATTGGCAAAAATCTGGAATTGAAGAGAGCTATATACCTAAATAATTATAATAAAAGCAATAATGATGGTATAAAGGGAGGAGTCAGAGGAAATACTCTTGATGAAAATAAATTTGCCAGGTAGTCTACATTGTTGTTACTGAAAATATGGTCCAGAGGCCATCAGCATCAGTAACATTTGTGAGCTTGTCAAAAGAGACTCTTGGGCCCTACCCTCAGTCCTTCTGAATCAACAACATTTTAACAAAGTCCCCAGGAGATTACTATCACCGTTTAAATTTGAGAAATAATAGACTAGAGGACAGTGAGAGGTAATAGTTGAAATGATTCTAAGCCACAGGAACAGCAATATGCAAAGGCACAGGCCTTTGTGAGACGAGGTAGTATCATATTTGAGACACTTAAGAGGGTTAGCTTTTTCTTTTTCTTTCTTTTTTTTTAGAGCAATCTCCCATCCTTCCTTTTCCTTCAATATACATTTATGACCAGTTGTCAATTTACACACACACAACACACACACTCACATGCACACTCTCAGAGTTTTGATTAGAAAGGTATTGAATCTATAAATCAGTCTGGGACATATTTATAATTTTGAATCCCCTAATCCAGCGCTTTTCAACCTCCCCTCCCCCAGATATTACCCCTAAAGAGTATTTTTTTATAAATGAAATAGCTTTTTCTTTAGTGAAAAATCTAGGCATGTTACAACTTAAAGTTTTAATCACTGGAGCATAAAGGGAGAACAGGACTGGTAGTGGTGAAAAGAGTCTTACACCCACACTGAAGAAATTGAAATCTGCTACTTCAAAACTGAATCACAAGCCTAAAATTTCTCTCTATACATTCTATAGTTTTTCTAAAGTGTATAGAAGGCTTAATCCATACAAGAAACTTTGTCCCAGAGTCACGGGTTAAATATTGAAAAACCATCTTAATTCTAATAAATACCTAACAGTTCTGAGACATAAAAAATTCTACTTTAACTATATTTTTATTTAAAATTTAGAAAAGTGTATATTAATATGTAATTCTAACTAAACCAGATAAGATTAAAGGTATTCTAAGAACACGTAATTCTAAAATACTTTGTCATTTTCAAATGTACATTCATGAGAGGAAAAGAATAACCCTTGATAAATGATGTGGCACTGCCTGTGTATTTAGGCGGCAGAAGTGAGACTGTGAAGGACTAACCCTGCTCAAAAAAAAAAAAAAAAGAGTGTTTTCCCCAAGGTAAAACTAAAAGGAACTAGCACCAAAATAAAATACTGATTTTAAATGTCTGGATTGACATCAGCTAGAACACAAGAATTAAAGTTAGAAGAGATTTAAAGATAAGTTAAGTACAGCCCTCTGGTCCAAAAGACATACTTTCGATCATGGTAATACAGGAGTGCTTCTATTACCAGAACAAAAAGAACAGTACAAAGGTAAGAGTCAATTTGGGTGAATTAAAGTTAAAAGGCCACATCTAAGCCTTGTATGGCACTGAACATATGCTTGTTTAATTATCAAAAGGGAAAACAGGATAAACTAAAAAAATAAAAATAGGATTCCAAGAATTAGGGTTTAAATATGGAAGGGCCAAACTGACTGTAAGAAGAATGAATACAAAATGGTTTAGAAGATAAAGACCAATGAATGCTATATTAGGCTATTTTACTGTTGTTGTTAACAATATTCTTCCAAATGTCATTTGCTGTCTGGCTACCTGAACAACTATGACTATGTCTAATACCCTAATCCAAAATCTTTTCCATCCAATTGACAGACATGCTTTATTTAAGGGAAAGGTAAGGGGGGGGGGGGGTGTGTGTGAAATAGGCCTAAGAACTTTAGAGTAAATGTTAGAAGATTCCTGTTGACTTCTTTAAAGGGTGCCAAATTAATTTTAAAAAAACAAAGTAGTAATGGGGGAACAGCCAAAGGTCCAGTATAAGACAACTACCCTAGGACTTACACTTTCAGTACAAAAGGACTAGCCTGAGTCACACTTGCTCATACTATGAATTTTGAGAATTCAGTTTAGAATACATGCAACAGCCCTACATTCAGCAAGGAATTTCAAGTATATAGTCTAAACTAGATTAAGTTTTACTATTAAAAGTATTTTTTCCTAAATATTACCATTAATAGGCCAGTATGATACGCATTAATATATCTTTGAAGGATCAGTTGAAGTCACTGAAATCCAAAATTCAAAAATTAAATTATAAAAGATTAAGTTACAGCTAGGAATCAAAGACTCCTTTACATAAGTAACTTGAGCTCAAAGTCATTCAGTGATGACATCCCAGCTTAGTAAGCACCCCATTACTTACTATTTTATTAACAATAAAGCTCAAGGGCAGTCGGAGTCTTTTATAATCGCTTTTAAAAAATATTTATCAAATAGGGAAATATTAATAATTAAGAAACTTTATCAACAATTCCAACTTTGCCAAATATAAAAGCATATACATTTTTAATTCAGCACAGAACATTACACATAACTAATAGAAAATCTCAGTGCCTGACAATTCATCTTTGGAAAACAACCCTTATACATAACCCATAATCTAGATATGTGCCTTGACCAGGAATCAAACCTGCAATCTTCTGGTGTATGGATGACACTCCAACCAAATAAGCCACCCAGCCAGGGCTGAAATATCTCTTTGGGGGAATTCTTAATATCAGTGTCTTCAGATCTTTTGTCTTAGGCTGCTTATAATTCCCAGAGAAGAATCTTCTAAACTACTGACTGAAAATTATAAAAAGCTGGTAGCTTAGGTTCTTAATTCCCCTATTTTTGATACAGTAACTCCATCTCAATTATGTTTTATACCTCTCTCTTTTATTCTTGCTAGGTAATTAATCTCCAGTCTTCTCTTGCTGTGATAAGGAAGGGGTAGTTACCTGGGTTTTCAGCCAGTAAAAGGATCTCTAAAGAATTACCTCTAAAACAGATCTGCAACAAATCATCCTATTTGTAGTCTCACCCTCACACTTATTTGCAGGAGAATGCTGTCAACTCCTGAACATTTTAGAGGTTCTATGTTACCATGATAATTGTTTCCCAGCATTCCCAGAACAGACGTGGGATTCTAGGATCATTTCAGGTTCTAAAATTGGGTTGTAATTGTTTCCTTTCCCATTCTGTTTGCTCTTGTGCAGTTATGTCTTCTGTAAAATTCCTTTTACTTAAGCTTTAATGAATTTTGAGAGAAAATGGAATTGAATTGTTAGAACTTTCTTGTTCTCTCTTTATCAATTATTTTCCAGCATATTTTATTTTATTTATTTATTTATTTTTAAAGTAATTAATTTATTTTTGTTACGGATGTTTCTCCTTTTTGTGCCACTGATCCCCCCCCCCCCACCTGCCCTGTCCCCAGCTTTGTTGTCCAAGTCCACTGTTCATGCATACATGCATATAAGTTCTGTGGTTTATCTCTACCCCACCACCACCTCTTCTGGGGATTGGCAGTATGTACCCTACTTCCACGTCTCTGGGACTACCCCATTCCTCAGACTTTTATGTTCATTATATTCCACAAATAAGTGAGATCATATGATACTTCTCTTCTTTGTTTGGCTTGTTTCGCTTAGGATAATACTTTCCAGGTCCCTCGATGTCGTCTCAAAGGATAAGAGATCTTTCTTTCTTACAGCTGCATAGGACTACAATGTGTATATGTACCACAACTTCTTTATCCAATTGTTTACTGATGGACATTTGGGTTGTTTCCAGATCTTAGCTATTTTAAGTAGTGCTGCTACAAACATGGGGGTACATATATTCTTTCTGATTGGCTTCTTAGGGTATATTCCTAGAAGTGGGATCACTGGGTCAAATGGAAGTTCAATTTTTAATTTTTTGAGGTAACACCACATTGTTTTCCATAGTGGCTGAATCAATCTGCATTCCCACCAGCAGTGTACCAGAGTCCCCTTTTCTCCACACTCTCACCAATACTTCTTGTTTGATGATTTGTTGATGGCGGCCATTCTGACAGGTGTGAGGTGATACCTCACTGTTGTTTTAATATGCATCTCTCTTATGATTAGCAATGTTGAGCATTTCTTCATATGTCTCTTAGCCATTTGTATGTCCTGTTTGGAGAGGTGTCTATTTAGTTCCTCTGCCCAATTTTTAATTGGTTTTTTGTCTTCCTTTTGTTGAGCTGTATGAGCACTCTCTATATATTGGAAATTAACTCCTTATCTGATGTATCATTGGCAATTATGCTCTCCCATACAGTGGGTTGCCTTTCCATTTTGGTGGTTGTTTCTTTTGCTGTGCAGAAGCTTTTGAGTTTGATGTAGTCCCATGTGTTCATTTTCTCCTTTGTTTCTGTTGCCTTAGGTGATGTATCAGTGAAAATTCTGCTGCATATGATTTCTGAAATTTTGTTGCCTACAGTTTCTTCCAGGATTTCATGAGTCACATTTAAGTTTTTCATCCATTTTGAGTTTATTCTTGTGTATGGTGTAAGTTGATGGTCTAGTTTCATTTTTTTGCATGTAGCTGTCCAATTTTTCCAACATCATTTATTAAAGAGGCTGTCTTTACTCCACTGTATGCTCTTGCCCCCTTTGTCAAATATTAATTGAGCATATTGCCTTGGGTCCATTTCTGGGTTCTATGTTCTCTTCCACTGGTCTATATGCCTGTTCTTGTGCCAGTACCAGGCTGTTTTGATTACAGTGGCTTTGTAGTATAACCTAAAATCTGATAATGTGATACCTCCAACTTTGTTCTTTTTCAAGATTGTGTTGGCTATTCACAGTCTTTTTTGGTTCCATATGAACTTTTGAAGTATTTGTTCTAGTTCTGTGAAGTATTTTGTTGGTATTTTGATGGGCATTGCATTGAATCTATAAATTGCTTTGGGTAATGTGGACATTTTAATTATGTTAATTCTTCCAATCCATAAACAAGGTATGTGCTCCCACTTTTCTATATTTTCCTCTATTTCTTTTTTCAATGATCTGTAGTGTTCTGCAAATAGGTCCTTTATTTTTTGGTTAAGTTTATGCCTAGGTATCTTAATTTTTTTTGCCGCAATGGTAAATGGGATTGTTTTTTTAGTTTCTCTTTCTGTGAGTTCATCATTGGTGTATAAGAATGCCAATTTTTCTTGATGTTAATTTTGTATCCTGCTACTTTACCAAATTCCTTTATTAAGACTAGTAAATTTTTGATGGAGTCTTTGGGGTTTTCTACATATAGTATCATGTCATCTGCGAATAAGGAAAGTTTCACTTCCTCCTTTGCAATTTGGATTCTTTTCATTTTTTCTTCACCTCTGATAGCTGTGGCTAAGACTTCCAGTACTATGTTGAATAAGAGTGGCAAAAGTGGGCATCTTTGTCTTGTTCCTGTTCTTAAGGGAAATGCTTTTAGTTTTTGCCCATTGAGTATGATGTTGGCTATAGGTCTTTCATATATGACCTTTATTATGGCGAGATATAATCCCTCTATTCCCAGATTGCTGAGCATTTTTATCAGAAATGGATGCTGGATTTTGTCGAATGCTTTTTCATCTATTGATATGATCATATAATTTTTATCTTTCATTTTGTTTATGTGATGTATCGCATTTATTGATTTGTGAATACTGTACCAGCCTTGCATCTCTGGGATGAATTCCACTTGGTCATGGTGAATAATTTTTTTGATGTATTGCTGGATCCGATTTGCTAGCATTTTATTCAGGATTTTGGCGTCTATGTTCATCAGGGATATTGGCCTGTAGTATTCTTTCTTCGTAGTGTCTTTTTCCGGTTTTGGAATTCGAATTATGCTGACCTCATAAAATGAGTTTGGAAGTCTTCCTTCTTCTTGGATTTTTTGAAATAGTTTTAGGAGAATGGGTATTAGTTCTTCTTTGAATGTTCGGTTAAATTCCCCTGTGAAGCCATCCGGGCCTAGGCTTTTGTTTACTGGGAGAGTCTTGATTACATCTTCAATTTCCTTAGTTGTTATTGGTCTGTTCAAGTTTTCTCTCTCTTCCCAGTTCAGTTTTGGGAGACTATGTGTTTGTGTTTCTAGAAATTTGTCCATTTCGCTTAGATTGTCAAATTTGTTGCCGTATAATTGTTCATAATATTTGTTAACAATCCTTTATATTTCTGTAGTGTCAGTTATTATTTCGCCTCTTTCATTTCTGATTTTGTGTATTTGGGTTCTCTTAAGAGTCCATCAATCTTGTTTATCTTTTCAAAGAACCAGCTCTTTGTTTCATTGATCCGTTGTTTTTTTGTTGTTGTTGTTTTTGGGGGTTTTTTTGTCTCTATGTCATTACTGCTCTGATCTTTACTATTTCCTTCCGTCTACTTGCTCTGGGGTTTTCTTTCTGTTTGCTTTCTAGTTCTTTCAGTTGTGAGGTTAGATAGTCTGTTAGAAATTTTTCTTGCTTCTTGATATAGGCCTATAGTGCTATGAACTTCCCTCTCAGAATTGCTTTTGCTGAATCCCATAGATTTTGTGTTATTGTGTGTTCATTTTCATTGGTTCCAGGAAGTTTTTAATTTCTTCCTTGATCTCCATGGTAACCCAGTCATTGTTCAATAACATGCTATTTAGCCTCCATGTTTTCAAATGTCTTTGCATGTTCTTGCTGTAATTGATTTCTAGTTACATGCCATTGTGATCTGAGAAATTGCTTGATATGATTTCAATCTCCTTGAACTTGTAGAGACTTAGTTTGTGCCCTGATATGTGGTCTTCTTTGTGAATGTCCCATGTGCACTTAAGAAGAAAGTGAATTCTGCAGTTGTGGGGTGTAATTCTCTGTAGATATCTATTAAATACATTTGATCTAGTGCTTCATTTAGAGTCGGTGTTTCCTTGTTAATTATTTTACTAGAAGATCTATCCAGTGATGTCAGTGGGGTATTGAAGTCTCCTGCTATGGCTGTATTGCTGTTGATTACTCCTTTGAAGTCCTCCAGAAGATTTTTAATATATGTTGGTGCTCCTACATTAGGTACATATATGTTTATCAAGGTCATATCTTCCTCTTGGATAGATCCTTTCAATATTATGTAGTGGCCTTCTTTGTCTTTACTTATGGCCTTCATTTTGAAATCTACTTTATCAGATATGAGTATTGCTACCCCAGCTTTTTTTTCCTTTCAGTTTGCTTGGAAGATTTTTTTCCATCCCTTCTCTTTCAACCTATGTGTCTCTTTTGTTGTGAGGTGGGGGTCTTGTAAACAACATATATGCGAGTCATGCTTTCTTATCCAGTCAGCTACTCTGTGTTTTTTTATTGGAGCATTCAAACCATTCACATTTAAAGTGATAATTGATATGGACTTATTTATTGCCAATTTTTGTTTAGTGTGGTTCTATTTTACTTCCTGTTTCCTCTACTAATTACAGCAGTCCTTTTTAACATTTCTTGCAGTGCTGGTTTGGTGTTAATATATTCCCTTAGCCTTTTTTTTGTCTGGAAAACTCTCTATTTGACCTTCTATGTTGAATGATAGCCTTGCTGGATAGAGTAATCTGGGATTCAGATCCTTGTTTTTCATGACATTGATTACTTCATGCCATTCTCTTCTGGCCTGTAGTGTTTGTGTTGAGAAGTCAGCTGAGAGCCTTATGGGGTTTCCTCTGTAGGTAACCTGTTGCTGATCTCTTGCTGCCTTTAGGACTCTCTGTTTTTAATTTTTGGCATTTTAATGACTATGGGTCTTGGTGTGGGCCTGTTTGAGTTCTTCTTACTTGGGGCTCTCTGTGCTTCCTGAACTTGAATGCCTTCTTCCTTCCCCAAGTTAGGAAAATTTTCTGTCACTATTTCTTCAGATATATTCTCTAACCCTTGTCCATTTTCTTCCTCTTCAGGGACTCCTATACTGCGAATGTTATTACATTTCCAGTTGTCCCACAGTTCTCAAGCTATCTTCCTGTTTTTCCATTGTTTTTTTCCTTTTGTTTTTCTGATTGGTTGAGTTTTTCTACCCTGTCTTCTAATTCACTGATCTGGTCCTCAGCTTCCTCTACTCTGCTGGTTAGTCCTTCCAATGTGTTCTTAATTTCTGTTATGTCATTCTTCATTTCCACTTGGTTGGTTTTCAATTTTTCTGTATCTTTATTCATGGTGCTGATGTCCTTACTCATGCTTTGAGCTTCCCCAAGATAATGGCTCTGAACTCTACCTCTGATAATTTGCTTAGCTGCATTTCACTTATCTCATCTTCATTACAGTTCTTTTGTTCTTTCATTTGGGATTTGTTTCTTTGTTTCACCTTCTTGGCTAACTCAGTGGGTTTTCGAGCCTGCCAAATTTTCCCTGTGGGTGTTGGTGTTCTGCTGTTTGTGACTCCCTCTCCTGGGTTTGGATGAGCCTGGATGGGCCCACATTAAACACCACTGTCAAGTCTTACTTTCCTGGGTAGATACAGCTGACCACTTCTGCATTTATTAAATACTTTTCTTGGCTGCTATGACAACACTTTCCTGCTTTTCCAACCATCTCCATGGCTTCTCCTTCTCTTCTGACTAACATTGGCACATCCCAGGACTAAATCCTTTTCAATCTATGTACACTTCCTAGATAATTTCATCCAGACATATGCTTCTAAGTATCTATGCCAATACTTCCCAAATCCATTCCTGTAGATCAGATTCTCAACCTCAGACTCATATATTCAACTACCTTTTTGATATTAAAGCAGACTTTACAAGTGTCTAAAATATCATATAGCAAGACAGAACAGAACTTCCTTTTGCAAATCTGCCCTTCTCCCATTTTTCTTCTCCAATCTGAACTTCATATATCCGTTTCCCCACTTACTATACTCCAGCCACATTTGCTTTTTCTGTTCCTCAGGCATTCCATGGTCATTTTTGTTTCAGTGCCTCCTTCTACAATAACTGCCCAAGGAAGGGAACCTCGTTCCAATCTTCACATGGTTGGCACATTCTTGCCATTCGGGTCTCAACTGAAATATTTTTCTTCATTGAGGACTTCTCTAACTATCTACTGAAAGTAGTCACCAGTCTCTAGAATCCATTTTAATTCTCTGTATAGAATTACAAAAGTTTTCATTTGTTAACTATCTGTCCTGACCTCCCTTTAGAATGCAATCCTCCTGAGAGCAGGAATACTTTCTGTCTTGATCATCACAGTATATCAAATAGTATCTGAACATAGCACAATAAATGTTATAGAATAAATTAATACAACAAGAAAATTTTTTAAATAAAATTTTCTTCAAATTATTGTGTCAAGATAGTTTATGGATTTTTTAAATATACTTTTTTGGAAAAATGTCATTCTAAGATACAATCCTGTCATTACCTTTTATATTTTTTGGATCTGTGGAATTGATTCTTCAGAAAACTATAGGTTCAATGTATTCTTCTATATGGCTGATCATCAGTCTCAAAATTCTGTTTAAACGAGAAAAAAATTATTTGTTAGATTTATTCAACTTTTATATGTTTATCACAAAAAAGTTTTAAAATTCTGAAATATAACAAAATTTAGAACTTAGCCACAAAATGTAGATAACAAATGCTAAACTCTACAAATTATTTCTAAAAAGAAATAATTTAAAAATAAAAATAAACTAAAACAATCATTCTTAATTTTAGTACACAAGTCAAACAATAAAAGTATAAAAAAACTATAACTACAAAAATATGTTATGGATACAGTACCATAAAAAATGTCATCTTGTGACACTGATGATAATGTATAGGAAATGGAGAGAAAAAAAAGAGTAGCGTTATTGAAGTTAGGCTGTTAACAGCTTAAAAGAGATTGTTAAAACTATAAAATGACCCTGGCCAGATTATCTCAATGGTTAGAGTGTTGGCCCTGGACCGAAGCCTTGCAGGTTTGGTTCCCAGTCAAGGACACATACCTGGGTTGCAGGTTTGATCTTAGCCCTAGTAGGGGTCATGCGGGAGGCAACCAATTGATGTGTCTCTCTCAAATCTCTCTCTCTATTTCCCCCTCCCTCCCTCCATTCCACTCTATCTAAAATATCAATGGAAAAATATCCTCAGGTGAGGATTAACAACAAAAAAGACTATAACATGTTTTATGTAAGATGCATGGTAAGCACAAAGAAATTACCTAGGGAGGATACACAAAAAATAAAGAAATAAAAGCATGCCATTACAAATATAAATAAATACATAAATGAACCATAAATTATAGATAGTAAGTCCTTCCCTATCTATAATTCCTTTAAGGGACTGAAGTTACCAATCAAAAGACATGGAGCAGCTGTCCGGGCCAGTGTTGCAGTGGTTAGAGCGTCATCCTGTGCACCAAAAGGTCATGGGTTTGATTCCCGGTCAGGGCACATATGTGAGGCAATCAATCAATGTTTTCTCTCTCGTATTGATGTTTCTCTCTCCGTCTCCTTTCCTTTCCCTTTATAATCAGTGAAAAACATATCCTCAGGTGAGGATTAAAAAAAGAAAAAGACATAAAGAGATGCATGGGTATAAAAAAAACAAAAAACAAAAACAAGATCCATCTACATACTATTTACAAGAGATAGAGAGACTCAACTTCAGATTTAACGACCCACAGAGGCTGAAAATGAAAGACTGGGAAAAGACAGTCCAAGCAAATGGTAACTAAAAGAGAGCAAGAGTGGCCATACTTATATAAGACAAAACTGAATTTAAGTAAAAAACTGTCACAAGAAAAAAAAAAGGGCTATATATCAATAAAAGGTCAATTAGTCAGGAATATATAATTATAAATATATATAAATCCCACATCAGAGCACCTAAATATTTGAAGCAAACATTGACAAACTGAATAAAGAAATAGACTGCAACACAATAGTGAATTTCAATACTCCAGGTTCAATAATGGATAGACTATTCAGGCAGAAAGTTTATAGTGGTAAACACTACATATAAAAAAACAATCTCAAATGAAGAACCTAACTTTACACCTCAAGAAACTAAAAAAGAGCAAACTAAGCCCAAAGTTAGCAGAAGGAGGTATATAAAAAATATTAATGCAGAAACAAACAAAATAAAGACTAGAAAAACAACAGAGACAAAGAAAAGAGTTTTTAGAAAAGAATAACAAAAAGAGAAAAGATAACTGATACCACAGAAATACAAAAGTATCATAAGAGACTATTATGAACAATTAGATGCCAAGAATAAATGGATAAATTCTAGAAACATACAAGCTACCAAGACTGAACCATGAAGAAATATAAAATCTGAACACACCTTTAACTAACAAGGATATTGAATCAGTAATAAAAACATCCAAACAAAGTAAAACCCAGGACCAAACAGATTCACTGGCAAATTCTACCAAACATTTAAAAAAGAATTCATTATCACCAATCCTTCTCAAACTCTTCTAAAAAATTGAGGAGGAGGGAACATGTCCAAATTCCTATTATGAAGCCAACATTACCTGACACCAAAAACTGAACAGACTCCACAAGTAAAGAAAACTATAGCCTGCCCAGTGTGATTCAGTGGATTGAGCGTCATCTCACGGACTGAGAGGTCCCAGTTCAATTACTAGTCAAGGACACATACCCAGGTTTCAGGCTCAATCCCCAGTGCGGGGCGTGCAGGTGGCAGCCAATCGATGTAGCTCTCTCACATCAATGTTTCTATCGCTCTCTCCCTTTCTCTCTCTCAAAAAAAAGTCAAAAAAATAAAGTAAAATAAAAAATAAATGAATAAAAAGTTTTAAAAAAACCACAGGCCAATATCCCCAATGAATACAGACACAAAAATCCTCAAAAAAATATTAACAAACCAAATTCAACAATACATTAAAAAGTCCATACACCAGGATCAAGTGAGATTTATCCTTGGGATGCAAGGATGGCTCAACATACAAAAATCAATCAGTGTGATATACCACATTAACCAAAAAAAAGGATAAAAGTCACATGATTATCTCAATGCAGAAAAAAACATATGACATAAATGAACACCCTTTCATTATAAAGACACTATAAAAATCTAGGCATAGATAGAAATTCTCTCAAGATAATAAAAACCATATATAAAAAGCCCACAGCTAAGATCATGCTCAACAATGAAAAATTCAAAGCTTTTTCTCTAAAATGAGGAACAAGGCAAGGGTGCTCACTCTCACCAGTTCCATTCAACATAGTACTCAAAGCCCTAGCTAGAGCAATTAGGCAAAATAAATAAATAGCATCAAAATCAGAAAGTTATAAGTAAAATTATCTCAAAGAGTCAAAATAGTCTTGAGAAAGAACACAACTAGAGGCCTTACAGTTCCTGACTTGAAAAAATCGCAAAGCTACAGTAATCAAAACAGCATCGTACTGGTATCAAGACAGACATATACACCAATGGAACAGAATAGAGAGCCCAGAAATAAACCCAAGATTATACAGTCAAATAATCTTCAACAAGGGTGACTGGACTCCATAAGAAAAAGGATAGTCTCTTCAGTAAATGATGCTGGGAAAACAGGATATTCATGTAAATGAATAAAATTGATCTCTTATCTTACACTACACCAAAAAAAAAAAAAATCAAAATGTTTTGAAGACTAATATGTAAGACCTAAAACTATTAGGGAAAAAAAAAAAAAACAGGAGAAAAGTTTTAGGACACTGGATTTGGCAACAATTTCTTAAATATGACATAAATAGCACAGGAAATAAAAAGCAAAAATTGACAAATGGGACTACAGCAAAGTAAAAATCTTTTGCACATCAAAGGAAATCATTAACAAAATGAAAAGGCAACCTAATGAATTACAGAAAATATTTGCAAATCATTTATCTGATAAGGAGTTAATACCCAAAATATATTAGGAACTCCTATAACTCAGAAGGAAAAACAAATAACCTGATTTTAAAAATTAGCAAAGGACTTAGACATTTCTCCGAAAAAGACATACAAATAGCCAACAGGTATGCGAAAAGATGCTCAAAATCACTAATCATCCGAAAAATGTAAATCAAAACTACAATGATATATCATCACACAACTGTTAGGATGGCCATTATAAAAACAAAACAAAAGCAAAATAAATCAAAGATTAACAGGTATTGGCAATGATATAAAGAAATTAGAACCCTTTCTACTTTTGGTGGGACTATAAGATGATGCAGCCACAATGGAAAACAATATAAAGGTTTCTAAAAAAAAAAAATTAAAATACACATACCATATGATCCAGCAATCCCACTTCTGGGAATTTAACCAAAAGAACTGAGACTACGAACCTAAATAGATCGTTGTACTTCCATGCTCACTGTAGCACATTCACAATAGCCAAGAGGTGGAAACAACCTAAAAGTCCACCCATGGATTGATTAAAGAAACGTGGTATGTACATACAATGCAGCCTTACAAAAGGAGATTATGTCATATGTGACAATATGGATGAACCTTGGGGACTCTGTGCTAAGTGACATAAACCAGTTACAGAAGAACGGATAATACATGATTCTACCTACATGAAATATCTAAAGTAGTCAAATTCATTGAATCAAAAAGTAGATGATGGTTGCTCTGGACTAGGGAGTGGGGAACATAGGGCGTGGCTAGTCAACAAATAATACAGACCTTCCACTATAGGTAAGGTATATTTTTCCTCTGACTCCTTTCAGGATATTTTTTTTTCTTTATCTTTGATTTTTTATAGCTTGAAAATGATATGCCCAGGTGTTGTTTGGGGTGGGGGAGAGAAACATTAATTCTGTTTAGTGAACTCTCAGCTTTCTGGATCTGTGGTTTAGTGTCTGCATTAACTTGGAGAAATTCTCAATCATTGTTTCAAATATTTCTTCTGCTCCTTTCTCTTAACTTCTCCTTCTGGTATTCCCATTACATGTATGTTACACCCTTTGCAGGCATCCCATCATCCTTGGGTATTCTATATTTTTCTATCTTTGTTCTCTTTGCTTTTCAGTTTTTGAGGATTCCACTGAGATATCCTCTAGCTCAGAGATTCTTTCCTCAGCTGTGTCCAATCTACTAGTAAACCCATCAAAGTCATTCTTCATTTGTTACAGATTTTATCTTGAAATTTTCTTTTTGGTTCTTAGGATTTCCATCTCTCTGCTTATATTGCCCATCTGTCTTGCATGCTGTCCACCCATTAGAGCCCTTAGCATATTAATCATAGTGTTTTAAATTCCTGGTCTGATAATTCCAATATTCTTGCCGTGTCTTGTTCCGATGCTTGCTCTATCTCTTCAAATTGTGTTTTTTGCCTTTGGTAAGGCTTGGACATGATGTACTAGACAAAAGAAACTGCTGTAAATAGGCCTTTAGTAATATAGTGGTGAGGTGTGAGGGCAGGAGAAGCATTGCATAGTTCTATCAATAGGTCCCGTCTCTTAGTGAGCCTGTGCCTCTGGACTATGTTCACAAGTGCTTCTCAGATTTTTTTCCCTCCGTTG